CGCTCAACAGGTATATAATCTCTCAAAATTTTAGTTTTTTTTTAAAAAAATTAAATTTAAATCAAATTTTTAAAAATCAAACTAAAATTTTTTAAATACTGCAAACATGTCTTTGGAACAACAAACAGCACAAAACACTACTTCTCAAATTCAAATTTCTCAATCAGAAGCTTCTCAAATTCAAGAACAAGAAAATATTGATTATCTTCAAGAAAGATTTACGAATGAATTTACACATTATGAAAAAGAATCAAATTTCTTGAAGAAGATAACAAGTCTTATAAAAATTATTTAAATATTTTAATAATTTTTATTTTTATTTTATTTTTCACTTTTGGAGTTTATATTTTTTATACTCATCAAATTTATGATAAAAATTATCAACTTCACAAAGAACATGATGAAATTGAAATTTGAAAACAACTTTGGAATAGTAATGTAAAAAGAATACAAAAGTTTGTATTTAATTATTTAGAAGATCAAAAAATTTTATAACTATTAGTTGACAGTTTGTGTCAACAAAATTTTTAATCGATTTTCTTTGTTCATGTTCGTTGTTTGCACTATGTGAAAAATGAATATGAACAAAGAAGATTGATTATATATAATATTTTTATTTTTTTTAAATTTTAAATTTTAATTTTTATTAATAAAATAATTTTATAAATATTTACAAAATTAAATATACAAAATATATTTAATATAAATGTTCATAAACTTCGCCACCTTCTTTGTTTATAGGACATCCATTGCTCGCCAAAGAACTAACTATAATGTTTTAAAAATTTTTATTTTTTTTAACAGTTAAACTTTCTTCTAATTTCTAACCAATATTTAAATCTAAAAACCATCGAACTTTAACAGGTATTTTTTTATATTTAATTCTTTGTTAATTGCTTGTTGAAAGCAATATAATCTTCTGTTGTCAGACGAATACCATATATCTTCAATCAAACAAATTTCAATATATAGAAAATTTTTAATTTTAATTTTACCTTTAACAAGATTATTAATTGTATCTTCAAGCATTTCTCCATTCCTGAACCATGACGAAATTGATGCTTGTAAAAAATTAATTAAAAAAGGATTATTATAATCTATATAATCCCTCTCTGCAAGTTTAACTTTTATTAATAAAATTTTAAATCGATATAAAAATAAAATTCCTATAGTAAAAAAGTATTGTAAAAGGACGCAAATCACTAACTCTTTCCGACGATCACTTGTACCAAATTCTCTCTAAAAACAATTGCACTTT